GTCGATGCCGACTCATACCGACCCCACAGACCAGGGGAGACCTGCCCCTGTGAGTTTCTGAGCCTGACACTGTTTACAAGAGTGGGAAGTCCCGTCTTTCTCCCGAGCCTGGCAGTTTCCAACGGCGAGCATTTCAGATGGCAGTGACCACTGTGCCACCAGGGCCGACTCCCTACCGCTGAGTCAATTCTGACGCATGGCAACCCCAGAGCGAGGTCGGAACTGCCCGCGTGGGTTTCCCACTAACTCGTGACGGGAGGAGGAAGTCTCATGACTCTCTGGCGTCCATTAAAGCGCTCTGGTGGCACGTGGGCTAAAGATTGAGCGGCTATCCAAGAGGTTGGTAGTTTGGACGTATCAGCAGGAGAAAGAAAAGTGTCTGCTTCTGTGACGATCCCACAGCCTCGGAACCCCATGGGCCAGTTCTACTCCGTCCGATCGAGTCTCGGTGAGTCTCCAAAGAGACGGAACAATAAGTAAGTGTTAGCCCAGATTACAAAATTCAGTTGTGTTAAGATGCCAACAGATTCCAGACCATTCCTGTCAAAATCCCAGCTGGGTGTTTGTGCAGAAAATGACAAGCTGATCATGTGTGTAAGGACTTCAAGGGACTGATAATAATCAAGGAGCCCTGGTGCGCAGTGGCGAAGTGCTTGCCTGCTCACTGGAAGGTCAGCAGTTCAAACCCACCGTCGTCTCTGTGGGAGAAAGAGGTGGCCGTCTGCTTCCATAACGATGGACAGCCTTGGCATTCCATGATGCTCACCTTCCTGACACGATTGCTGAAGACAAAGTGGGTGCATAAGCAAATGTGGTGAAGAAAGGTGATGGTGCCCGGCTAGCAAAAGATATAGCATCTGGGGTCTTAAAGACTTGAAGATAAGCCAGCGGCCATGTAGCTGAGAAGCAACAAAGTCCACACGGAAGAAGCACACCAGCCTGTGTGATCACCAGGTGTCTAAGGATCAGGTTTTAGGTATCAAAGAACAAAAAAATCATTATTGAGAATGAGGGCAGTGCGAAATGGGGACCCAAAGCCCATCTGTAGGCAACTGGACATCCCCTTACAGAAGGGTCCCAGGGAGGAAACAAGTCAGTCTGGGTGCAGTGTAGCAGCGATGAAACATACAACTTTCCTCTAGTTCTTTAATGCTTCCCACCCCACTATCATGATCCCAATTCTACCTTACAAGTCTGGCTAGACCAGAGCATGTACACTGGTACAGATAGGAACTGGAAACACAGGGAATCCAG